CTTTCTATTTAGGCTCTTCACGGGCAGCAGGGTGCGTGCAGGCATTCTCACAGCCTCTATTTCGGCATAAAATATCTTGACTGGCATCAGACCAACAAAAATAAACCACTGTTCTCTCCCACCTAATGATCCTTAAGTGTCCTTACACCAAGGTGGATTTGACTTAAATTGTGATTTAAATCAATTTGATTTAAATTGCTGGCCAGGAAGCCTCGATTTAATCATTGTTTTCTACAGAAAGTGCATTCATGTTGTTTGATACGCTTTATTCATTTAATTTCTTGAAACTTTGCACTTTTTAGAGAAAGGTGTAAGGCTTGACTGTGTGCACACAAACTTGCAGATTGGCAATAGGGCTGATGGGTGGGCAGTTAGGTCTGTTATCTCTCATCCCACAGCTGGAGTACTGTGTCCAGTTCTGGGCACCCCACTTCAAGAGGGACGTGGACAGCATTGAGAGGGTCCAGAGGAGGGCCACCTGCATGATCCGGGGACAGCAGGGCAGACCCTACAATGAGAGGCTACAGGACCTGAACCTGTTCAGCCTTCACCTTGTGACCGTCTATAATCTCACTAGGGGGGGGACCAGAAGGGTTTGGGGGAGACCTTGTTTTCCCTAGCGCCTCCCCGGGATAACAAGGAATAACGGCCACAAGTTTTTGGAGAGTAGGTTTAGATTAGACATTTGTAAGAACTACTTCACAGTCAGGGCGGCTAGGACCTGGAACGAACTTCCAAGGGAAGTGGTGCTGGCTCCTACCCTGGGAGTCTTTAAGAAGTGGCTTGTTGCCTACCTGGCTGGGGTCATTTGAGCCCAGTTTTCCTCCTGCCCAGGCAGGGGGTCGGACTTGAAGATCTACAAGGTCCCTTCCCACCCGACTTCTATGATTCTGTGATCCCCATATACTGCTGTTAACAAGGATGTTATCTCTGGAGACTACAAACTCTCCCTGGGCCTGAAGAAGGGTGTTTGTGTCTGAAAGCTTGCAAAGAACAGTTTTTCCAACTATTTAGTTGGTCTAATAAAAGATATTACATCTTCCCAAAGAATCTTGTCTGCCTATGATCTCTGGAGGCACGAATCCACAGTTTGAGAACTGAAACCAAATATTACAGAGATGCTTAATGGCATTGTCTAGACTGAGCACGGGGTCCCATTGGGTACAGTGGTTTTCTTCAATCTTTACTAATCTATAAGGAGCCTCTGGGAACCCCGTAAGATTGGCCCCCTAATATAGTCCATGGCCTGTTGTGACCTATTTATAAAACTTCTAAAAAGGTTATATGAGTATATTATCTCAAATAGTATATGATTACAAGTTATAATCCTTATTCCATGATGATATCTTTGAGCTTTGACATATCTTAAATTTAAACTATCTTTATGTTTGTTTTTTAAAAGCATCTTAAAAAACATACGATTAAAAAAATCTGATTTAAATTTTAAGAAATCTGACTTTTTTTAATAATTAATTTTTATCCACCCTGCCTTATGCTGTCAAACCAACGCTAATATGGTGGACAGTATTGTAGATCTTGTCCATTTCAACCTAAAAATTATAGGGCTGAAGGGTTTCTTTGGCGGGGGACAAAGTTCCTTTTCTCCAGCACCTGGGACTTTAGTCCTTGCAATCAGGTGTTCAAACAAATTAGTTCTCAGCTACCTTAGTGACATGATTTGAAACTGGAAGTTTAGGAACAGCTTTAGCCAATTCCCAGCAACTTATGGAAAGGTCACAACATGAATGAAATTCGCCTTCACCTGCTTCTAATTGGAGCACTGTGGCCTGCTTTCCCTCCATGTTTCTAGCTCCAGGGTATCATTATGAGCAGAGCAGAACCTTCCTGCAAAAACTGCATTCCTGAAGGAGGCCTGTCTTGAAGATATTCCCATTGTACTGTCTACAGACGATTCTTAGTTTTTACAAAAGCACAGCAACCTCTTGCTTTTCTAATGTCAGTGGTTACCATTCAAATTTTACATAAACTCCCAGCGACACTCTCCAGGATCTTTGTAGCAATAATGTTGCATTTAAGGGAAGAAGGCATTCACATCTGTGTGTGTGTGTGTGTGTGTGTGTGTGTACACACTTTAATTCTGTACAGAAAGAAAGGGAAGAAGGCATTCACATCCCATAGTGTGTGTGTACTCAAATTCTGTACAGAAAGAAAGTATCTTGAATTCAGGAGAGACGTACAATGCCAAGGGATTCAGGAAATATTTGTGCTTAGCCCAGGTCTGTATTGGGTGCACAGTCTCCCTTCAGAAGATTAACATAATGGCAGACAGGTGGTGTCACAAACAGAAACCTGCTTATTGTTGGAGCCTGTTGGGAAATCAAATGAGATCTTATACAGACGTATGTTTTAGTGATCCAGAGTTCAAATAATGTGCATCAAATAAAGGTAGGTATTCCCTTGCGTCCCACCCCATTTGATCTATTGGCAGGTTATCTATATCCATACCTGGTGAATATAAAGAATCTCTCTTTTTAAGGGCCTAATTCTAGTCTGATTCAGGGGATGGATGTCAGAAAGAAAGCAAGTGAAGCATCCATCAGTTGAAGTCCAATGAAGGTCTCAAAGTATTGGTATTTTAATGGATAACAGGGTTGCTTTGGTCATGACCGTTAACATGTCCAGCGTAGTAGGGCTGGAGTGGTGGTGTAGCTGTGGCGATTTGGGGAATATGAGCGAATCAAGGGATTTCTGGTGATATCGTTTATTGGAGTAATCGTATAGCTGGGAGATATATTAGAGAAGCTTTTGGGCAACAATTGACCTTCCACGGATCAGGGAAAGAAGGAAATATCTACAGTACTAACATAAATAAATAACGTAAGATCTAAAGGTCCCTGACTCAACCCTGGGTTTCAGCAGGTGCTTTTTAAACCTGCGGAGACATGTATGATTCCAGTCCTTGGAGATGTACCTGCTTCTTTCCTCAACCTGAAGAAGGGCACCTTGTGCCCAAAAACTTCTCTAACGTCTCATTCAACTATACTCTTGGTCCAATAAAAGATATTATCAAGAAGGAAAGAAAGAAAACCCTTAATTTTCAACTGTCCAAGTAGCATTTTTGGAATAATCAGGGGGAAAATGTCAGGCAATCCCAACCAAGCTAAAGCAGCCTTTCCCTTCTTCCTGTACACTGCCCACAAAGAGTAATATCACAACACTGACCCTGCATGGCAGGAGCATGGTTGGTAGGAGTGGTTCCAGCAGTCCAAAATATCTTGCTCATCATAAATCAAAGACTGTAGTTTGGTGACCAGTCTCTTTGCCAAACAGTTAGTTAATAAAGTGCTTTTTGGTGTGCTTCTGCACGGAAGTAACTGGGATGTGAGCTGGTAAATGGCATTTTTATAAAGCTAGACAAAGGTCCCTGCTATGTGTATTCCCATCTTTATTATTGCTTCTCAGAACTATCTAAAATCTAGGAATGAGAGAATAGCAGTTTGTGTGCCTTTATTCCCAATGATGGTTTGAGTCTCTAGTTTGATTAACTTTGCATTGGATGCATCTCCTAAAGTAGGTCTGCTACTGCAATCCCACATTGAGGACCAGACAGGTATAAAATAAATATTTGGTGAAATGACAACTGTCCTCCATGGACCCCCAAAAAAGCCAGCAGATGGAATATATTATATTCCAAAATCCAGCAGTATAACACATACCAGTGGTTTTATTGTGGGTCCCTAAGAATTTCCAAGCAAAAAAAGGCATGTTTTTTCCAGTTCAGTTTTTTGATATGTTCGGTAAAATGTAGCTAGTTCCATATGAATCCCAACACTAAATGCTTCCTTGAGGTATTGGCTTTATATTCCAAATCTGCAAAGTCATATTGCACAACCCAGGAGCCATGTTCATGTAGCAGTACCCAACACTAGGACTCACCATAGCTACTCTCCCCATCTTTTGGGTGGTTTTTTATCTGAAGCCATCTCTGACAGGCCGGGTTCAAAATACCGGGTCTTATCTGCGCTAAAAACTATAACTATTTTGACATAGCATTTCCTAAGTAAATTTAAAAAAATACACCAGCTCCTAGGAACCCCAGTCATCTATCTCCATGCAAAGTAACCACGGTTCTTGTGTTGCTGTATCTGCTAGGTGGACATCAGTTCAGTACGTTCTGCATACTGGTCTTCTAGTTTTAGCTAATGCAATTTCCTTTCTTTCTTGAAAAAAAAAATTTGTGTGCTTTAATCCCCTGGGAAAGATAGAGAAAATATTTAGACATACCATACAGTGTTTCAGATAGTCCTGCTTAAAGGAAGGTTCTGCTTTCCACAAATACATGGATCTGTGGACCTTGCTGCAAAGAGTGGGGAAACTTAATCTCTGCTTACCTTAAAAACTTCCTGTCTTGGAGTAATGAGGTCCACAGATCCATGCTCAAGAGACAGGCCAGGTCTCCAAAACAGAGCTGGAGACTGACATCCAAGGGTTTGGGTTTCTTGTTGAGTGGAATTTACCATGCTATGCAGTAGCGGAAATTGCTTTGCCTTGAGGTTTATTTAGCACACCTTGTAAATCGGGGGGGAATAGATTTTGAATTGTCCTAGTTGTGGAAGTTGTCGCAGTTAGGCACTCTGCCGCTCCTAGTGACTGACGGGTCAGGTTTTGCCCCAAGCTAGAAGCAGGCCGACAGTATGCTTTGTAATACGTCTTCAGACCTTACTCCTCAAACGAAATAATGTTAAAGCAAGCACAGATTAATTTTACTTTAATCACCTCTCATTAATCAGCCTTGGGTTTTTATCAGTTTTGGTTTCCTAAAATCCATTAATACTACGTTGTACTAACCAATCATTTTAAGCAACTAAAACGTAAGACCCCAGTTTTTTGTTTTTCCTCTTGATTTCTTATATATTTTGAGCTTTTTTTTTTTTTTTTTGTTAAAATGGTTAAGTACTTAAACTTAATGTTTGAAACCTTTTCTGTTTCACCCTTTTAAAAGCCATTACCCTCACGGTATTTTTTTTCTTTTTTCCCAGGGTGACCAGATGCAGGTCATTCCAATCCCAAGTGTATGTATTTTTTATCCCTTTTATTTTAATAATTTTCATAATTTTCTTTGCTTTGGTTTATTTTATGTTGGAGTCAAATGGATTTATTTTATGTTGCATGTAATATGAAACTTTTTTAATTTTCAAGGATGTATAATGCTATGAAATGATTTATCTTAACAGTGTACAGGAAATATAGAGATAAAACTAATTACAAAGATGAGGACAGTCTAGATTTATGAAGTTCTCATTTCTGTCTATCCTTTGTTTTTGAGTTGTAGCTGAATTTTGAAAACTTAGTGCTCAAAAGAAAAAACCAAATTGAGGTTACTTAATTGTCATAAATGAAGGAGGATTGATATAAATGTCCCCTAGTTTCCACCTGTGAAGAGAGGCATTAATTTTCCTAGAACAGTCCACTTCTGGAGTATTACACAACTGTAGTAAGATCCCTGGTGTTGTAGTAAGACGGTACTTTTATTATAAACCATGGTTTTAAGTCTTAGTTTTTCTGTTTAATCTTAACTGGTTTAATTAGAATACACGTTGTTAGTGGGGAATTCTGTTTTTCAAAACCAAATAAAAACATTGTACATGTTTTGAGCTAGAGATTTTACTTTTTTGGACTTGAGACTTTTGGGTTTTTTTGCTTAAGAATTATCAGGGTGCTTTCACTGTGTGCTTTTTAATGTTTGTTTTTAATTTGGGGGACTTTTCGGTACTGTGTCTATCATTACTGCTTCACCATTTACAATACTTCATTGAGACAGTGCCATTGCAAAGCTCTCAAGACAATGTCAATGCAGGTCTTAAAAGATGCTCACCCCTCTTCGGTGGTATTTTATATCTGTTTTAAAGGTCTGAATATTGCCCTTCGGATTCCCTATTTTTTCTTTTACACCAAAGTTTTTCAAGGCTCAACATTGCAACCAGTATCTTTTTTTTTTTTTTTTTTAAACTGCTGCTGCTACTGAATGGTGTCAAGTGATCAGTATTCAGCCATATAAGCTTCCTCTTTCCATCACCACCTTTTCTTGGAGCTGAAAACTATTGGAAATTATACTAGCTCCAGGATTGTTACTTTCCATACGGTAGTCCTGGACCAGTGCCCAAAGAGCATTACACTGAAGAGCCAATGATCACTTTTAAAGTTTGGCATCTCCCAAATCATCAGGGCCAGAAGCAAACTATATACATTATGGGGCATCTGGGAATATCCTCTTTTCATTGGTATATTATGTTTGTGTCTAGATTTACTGTCCTCTCTTCTCATTCCTTCCAACTTTTTTAACCTGGTAGTTTTAAACATTAGCTCTGCAAAGGAAAACTAGACCTAGAAACAAATGCCGTAGTTTTCTTCCTATATAAAAAGCCGTGGAACCCAAGCTTGAAATGAAAGACAGCTTTAAAATTTAAGAGATGAGAATACAATAACACATAGGCACAAGGATGCAGACATCAAAGTCAAAATATAGCACTTGGCTATTAACTTATGTAGTACACTTAATGCCATATATATATATATATATA